TTAAATTTATTATTGTTCATCAAAGGAAATCAAGGAACATTATACGAATTAAATTTACATTTATATAAAGTTTACGGGCACTCGAAATGAATCTTAGCAGAGCTAATATTAATAGCAATTAATCAAATTTTGTTTTTTTAAGAAAATAATTAATCTTTGCTAATTAGTGGTAAGTCTGATATGACATTTACAGTCAGCTTGAGCCTTGAGGAGCCGATCTCGAAACTAGTGTTCGAAACTTTTGATAATTAGGTTATAGGGGGGAAATGGCATCCTGTCGTGGAGAGAAGTTGGTCAAATTTTTGGAAAAAGAGCGCCGAGCACTACATGCGCTTTCGACTGACCTGGAGAGAATAAATCTGCCATCATATCATTTTATATATAAGCATTTGTGGTCTCAGTCTTTTTTTTTTTTATTGTTACTCGTCTCTAGTTGTTTTCGAATACTTGCAGCCGATCTATCTTTCCAGTTATACTCTGCTTACTTATATGTCATTAGCAGATCAGTTTTTCAATAGTTGTTACTTGTGCTACATACATAAGACAGTGCTTTCATCTAGTATTGAACCAAATGAATTAACTGAACCATTGTATATTTTTGACTGAATTGAGCTAAGGTCGAGCTCTAGCAACGGTGGAAAAAAGTTGAAACTCGACTCGATGGCCGCCTTATTGTTGCTTGTCTTCGTTTAATAAAATGATTTAGTGTTTGAATCTGTTGTCTGTTTGATGAAATGATTCAGCGTTTGAATATGTCCACAGAGAAATTTGCGATTGTTTTTGTTTTCGACTTCTTGTTCCATCCAACACCTCGATAAAATTGTTCGTTAATCTCCGAATTTGATACAGAGCATCTTCGTGAACATGCTTATATTTGATTCTCTACATATTTTAGATAGCTTTTAAGACCATGATGAAGAGCAACAGTTGCAGATTTATACAATTTAGTGCAGATTGCCAATACCAATAATATTACTATTGTATTATAATTTAAATAATAATAATCATGATTTATCAAAATTAGACCGGACCGAGTAGAACGCAAACCGATTTATCGATCAGTCCATTTCACTTGAATAAAATATTTATTTTTGAACAGATCAACACCAGTCGCTCGTAGTAGTAGGATTTGTACAATTTCTATATAAAATTTGAGACATTTAAATTTTTTTGTAATATGAATAAAAATACATATTTAAATGAAGTGACTATTAATTAATATTAATAAATTAAAAAATTATGGTCCAAGTCCAACTAATAATGTATTGAACAAATAACTTGATTGGTTCGATGATGGTTCGGTTATGAGAAATTTTGATTTACCATATTTAATAAAAGTTGTAAGGCAATATCATTTAGTTTACATAAATTTTAATAACACGATATATAAATATTCATAAATCATTGAACATATATTCACAAAGTTATTCTTGGAGCTTGGGTTACATTACTTTTATCGTAATAAATTATTTTTTAATATTAGAATTTCTATTTAGTTTCAATAACCGATTTGGTTTGGCAAAATTGCCTATATGGTCCGGCCAAACTGGCCCGTGACCTATGATCAACCCCATTTGTGTCATGGTTTTGGATTATTTTAATTGTCACAAAAAAAAAGTATTTAATCAACCTGAGCAGTAACATATTTCAATTACTCAATTAAACCAAACAAATTTCCTTATTTCTCGTTAAATATATTAATTTTATGAAATAATT